CTATCTTCATTCCACATCACTCTTTCCTGCATTCTTCACTCTCCAGCTGACTGATACCTCATCCTTTGCCTGTCATGTCTTCTGCCTGGAACTCTTTCTTACTGCTTGAGAGAAATGGAAAATAAAGGAGGGTTTGCCTTGTAAACACATTTACATGCTTTCTCCAGCCACCATACTTAAATGCATATCTTAACCAGCTTGTCCATACTTCTAATGGTGACTTCGAGGTCTCATTTTCCTTTTTAATGTTCTTTAATGTGCTAAAAGACACCTAAAAATTGTCTTTTAGTTTTCACTTATTTGTTTAGTCATTGTCTGTCTCTTTTCTCTGGAACTAGGAACACAAACCGCATCTCGTGTATTTGGTTAGCTTTGCATAGGCTCTTAAAAACCCATTAATTATATGTTGGCTTGCTGGATAGATGGAAGAATGAAATATGAGGAAAATTCAAGACACAGAGAACTCATGATGCTAGAGGAGGGTAGAGAAATGGCCTCAAAACCAGATTAGATGTTTAGGGTAGTTCTCTGAAGGATATAGTGCCTTAGCAGACACATGATGGATAAGCAGGCGTTCCCCAGATCATCAACAGAGCATTTTACCTTCTGGACAAAAGAGCAAGGACTGGTGGCCAGAAAGTGGCTGAGAAAAGTACAGAAAGCTAATCTCAGCTGCACAGAGAAATGAGAGAAATTTTCAGCCCAGAGGATAGATAGAGAAGTAAAGGATCCCCACGATTGTACAGGAATCCTGTTTTGTGTTTGTACTATAAACCCAAATGTCTGGGCTTTCTACAGGAGGTAGAAACCACTGATACCTCATTGTCAGCTGGCACACTCTATTCACAGGGGTAAGCCCCTCAGGGATTGTAACTGAACAAAACCAGGGGCTGTTGCCCACCTTGTAAATTCACCTTCATATATAGTACAACACCTAGCAGGGTCCTAGAAAAATGCCTGTTGCGTTGAATCTTTTCTCTTGTTATGCATGGGATATTATCTAAAGTGACATTTGAGGCTGCCTAGATTTTTCTGAGGCATCACACGAAGTATAGAAGTAACTCTTGCTCCATATTATAGTTACTTTGAATTAATATGGACGATGGAAATGTACAATAAATTGACAAGCTCCAAAGCCTTACACTTTGGAAAAAATACCATCTTGACAATAAAGAAAGCCCAGGAGGGGACCTTCACAGACATGGATAACATTCCTTTCCTTAGTTGGATGAGATAAAAATGAAGCCAAGTAAATTCCTGAAATAGTGGATTTAAAAAAATAATAGTTCAAGGTGCTCACCTGAAAAGTCTGCATCCTCTTGAGAATCATCAAGTCTGAAATGTCTGTTCATTTTCCAGAGATTAGTCTTCATTAGGTATGATTTCAGCAAAGTATTTGAAGACATCTGTTTGCATAACTGAGAAGCCAAGTTAGGGTTATCAGAATTCCAGCATCAAGCTAAGTAAAATTGTTTGTTTTATTTTTGTCTCTTCAGTCTCAGGACAAACAGGACCCTGATTGTATACCAAGTCAAAAATTATCTCCTAGAGTTACATCATTTACTGTAGACTAAAGCAAACAGCTCTAGAATACGGTCTTGATTATTATGACAGATAAATGTGAATAAAATGGAGAAACAATACAGTAACAATAATGATGTTTGATATACTCAAGTGGGATATGAACTAACTGGAACACGAACTAACAGATTTGTGTTTCCCAGAAATATTTTAAAGTCTTCTTTTGTATGATTGACTTGTTCTCCTTGTTGTGAAAAGTTATAATTTGCTACGTGTTTTATTAACTTACTATATTTTCTTTCAATGTAGAACATATTCACTTCATCATCAGCATTCACATGGGAAAACACACATTTTAAAATGCTTTTGAACAATAATTGAAAGTCATTGGACATTTATAAAACTTTGGTATAGCTAATTCATCCGACAATCCATTGCTTATAAGATGACCTACTTCTTTCTCTCCCTGTTAAAAAAAGATGAATGATAAAACTCTAAAAACTGATGTCAAGTCTACAAGTCAATTGATTTTTTGCAGAAGTTTCTAGAAATTGAAGGTAGTTTTGTTCCTTGTCAGATGTCAGGTGAACAGAGTTAAATATATTATCAAACCTTGACTGTTGAAACATCCTGGTCCCCAGATACGTTTTAATAATGACAGTGTGATGTGTATACCTAGAGAAGAAACTAACTTTATGGGTTTCCATATGCATGCTGACTGTGGCAATATATTTTAAAGTAATATTCCTAAGTAGGTGTGAAGGAATTTGTCAAGGTAAAATATAATCATTAGAATAGAGGCAAGTCATTCTCCTGGCACTGATATGGTTAGCCAATTAAATGAGAAGGACAAAGGAGAAAGAAAGAGAACAGAAAATATAAAAAAGGATATAATAGAAAAAATTTTAGCAAATGCTGCCCATATACATTTCTGTGAACTTTAATATGTCAGTGATCCAGAAAATCTTCAACTACCAATGCCTATGATCTTGTGCCTTTTTCTAAGACAGTGGGGACTTTGTTTGCCAACAGACGGCTCCTCTGCCATGGCAGGCAGCCAGTGCCAAGCAATTAGCACCCATTGAAACTTTGCCCTCTGCCAGTGATTCTCCAGTGTATTAATGTCCCAGCCCCTCTCCTCTTGGCTGTCCTGGTTGTACGACATCTCAGGCTTTCCCTGCCACATTAAGTTCGCATGACCCATTGTAGTAGCTGGCTTACCACCTCACCCTTAAGTGACTGCCCCTTTCCCATGTCAGTTGACATCTCTTTCCTTGTTTTCTGGACCATTTCCCAAAGCCACTGTGTCAACTGTATTTTAGTCTTAGTCCTTTCTTCTAATGGAAACTACATAGATCTCTAGATGTTTCTGTTTCTACTTGTTTGTCTCAGGACCCCACCATAAGCTGAGAGCTGCATCTGCACACTTCTGCACATCACCCCCACCTAGTAAATGCTTTTACCATGTGAGGTGTAATGATTGGGCCCTTGGCAATGGAGAGGTCTTCATCCCACTGTTACTTATGTTTAAAAATGGCCAGATCTGTAGTTCTTAGAGCCATCTGGTTAAAATCCACCTGCTTATACAACAGGTATTTCATAGAAAAGGAGACACACTATTCATCTGAGCCTTGGAAAATAATTCACCACAGAGGTCAACTTGCAAGATTAGTCATTTCTGAATTCCTAACTCCTTTGCAAATGAGAGGGATTTGTTTTCAAGTGCTGGACGTGGAAAGTGAATATGTGGTAACTCATTTCTTAAGAAATGTGACTATGAAAGAGGAAGATTTTATCACTCAGCTTGCAGCAAGGTGAGAGCTTGCATGAGTTGAGTAAAATACACACAATTTATTTTATAAGCACCTCTCTAAAGTATCTTAAAGTTTAGAGGGTAAAAGACCCAATGAGTTTTTGCTTTATTATTCGTCCAAATGCTGAAACCTTCTGCCGTATTTCAACAGATTCTTTTTAGTGTCAATGTCAAAATTCTATACTATAAATGCAACCTAAAGCAAGATGGAGCCCCAGATCTCTTGCAACACTGGAGGTTGCACGCCATCATTAGATGCTGCTTCTGTCTTAATCTCAGTGACTCCTGGGTAGAAAAAAATGAGGAAGAATCGTCAAAAATCTAGGAAATGCTTCCTCTTTGAATGTCTTCATCATCACAATAAAGTGAAACATGACAATTGTACCCATAATTCAAAGCCTTAAATTTTTTAAACTAAGCTTTCCAGAAGCAGGGAAAAAATTATCACCTCAATTATCCATTTCATGGTCAAACTGTGTATGCCTCATTTTTAGATTTTTATTCAAATCATATAAATTTTCTTCACTTAGCTGTTGTCACTCATAAGAAAAATGAGGTTTTAGAAGTTGGCAGGGCTTGGTTTTTTCCCTATTATGTTGATTATTGAATTTCAAAGATTTTAAACCCAAAGATTATGTAAATAATTAGTTATCTGAAGCCTGAACAGTTGAGGACTTACTTATATGTCAATACAATGATATTTAATCATGGGAAAAGTTATTTCCCATTCCCAGTCTCTTTTTTCTCTTTTGATAGATACATACAAAATACACAGAAGATAGTTAAATTGATGAATGATTGGTTGATTAATTGCTATAAGATGTACCATGATGGTACCAGTGAATATTCAATACCTGTTTGTTCTCTTAAAATGCTCATTATCTAATCTTATTGAAGTTCATTCATAGAAGAATAGAGGCTGAACCTTTACAGTTATCCAACTAACATCCTAAGGGCTCAATTTTCATTTCATGTATGTATATACGGGAGAGAAAGACACTGCTTGGCAGATAATACTCTGCTTATAGGCTTAATTGAAGTGCAATGAGAAGAGTTCATGGTAGGAAGATCAGTGTATTGATCTATTGTAAATTATCTGGTAGATAATTCAGCTGTTTGTCCCACTTAGCAGATAATGCTTCTTGTAAGTGTCCTGTGTTCCAGAAATGGATTTCAATGACTTTGTATTCCAGGTGATATCTATTGACTCTCAAGATTACTCTGAAATCAAACTTTCCCATTAAGTCATGTAAACCAGTCTGTGGCAACTGAATCCATTTGGCAAACCTGAAACATTCACCTACCTACATGTAGCAGAAGCGTCACACTTTTATTGATTTCTAATATTAAAAACATAAAAAGTGGATTTCCATCATCTACAACCCATAAAACACAAACATCTAGTAAGCAAAACTTACTAGATGCCAAAAAGACTCATTTGATCATAGACCTTGTAGGTTATCACAAAGACCTTGATAAGTCTTTCTCCATTTCAGACCTTTTATAGTTGACAGAAAAATTTGTGTCTGATAGTCTTATTGATGCTCCACCCTCTCACCAGTCAATCTCCAGAAAGTTGGGCCCCCATTTAACTCCAGTCTGTTTTTGGTATTAGGATAGTAAGCCCAGAAGTTAAAAGCAAGAGCAAGAGCAAGAGAAAGAGAAAAAGAGCGAGAGAGAGACAATGAGAATATGAGAGAAAATAAGTAGAAACACTTAAAACACTGATAGTGATAAAGTGATGGACTCTGATGGTGGGGACTTGATCTAATGGCTTAAATGAGGTGCCATGTTTCCTGCCGGTAAATATTCGATACCTGCTTATCCACTCAGAAAAACGATTCTCATTACCTTATCTTATGGAGTTCATTGAGAGAGCAGAGGCTGAGTTAAGTTCCCAAGATTCCTCCTACACGTTGTGTTAACGTTTCCTGTTATAGAACTTGTATTGGTTGGTGTTTGATTTAGTTATCCTAACCACACCCTGAAGCCACAAAGTCAGCTGGAGAAAGACTGCTTCAAGTACTCAATCCTTTTTTAATCAAAGCTAAGATAGAATGCTAATAAAATTTTTTTTCAAACCAATTTCTAAAGCTCATTACTCAAAGTAAAAATGAAAGAGATAAGCTATGTTTATTTGGAATGTCCTACCCTCTGATAGAACATTCTTGTTAGGCTTATTTTTAAAATATTAGAATCTTCCTCACAGTTGATCAGCTTCCCTGAATGGGTCACTGAAATGTTATCTCTTCAGGGCAGATTTGACTGTGGCAGGTTTTGCCAGCACGTGTGGTACTTTATCCCGAAGCTCATGTACTCTGGTTTGAATGGTGTCTAATTGTTGGGAGCCGCAGCCCCGAGCCCGGTCGCCTCACTTGGCGGACGTGAGGCCTGTAGTAAAGAGTAAAGCCTGAGGTAGATTACCCCTCCCATCGAGCACGTTAGTTTCCTGCTTACCGCGTAAGCAACCCGCTCAACAATATAGTCTGCCTGGCAACTGATGATGTTAGCCAATCAGCTTGCCTTGCTCACTTTAACATGATTGGACACTGTATCCGTATATATACTGGTGCCACCCCTGGGGGGGAAGAAGAAGCCCGGAAGTAAAAGCCCAGAAGGAGCCGCAGGGAGCGGACCAGAGGAGGCTTCGGCTGGGAGCGATCCCAGGGCAGGCTGTACGGAGAAAGAAAAATAAAAAGAAAAGGTTGTCCACTGCCAGACTTTGTCGTGTGTCCTTCCTGCCGGCCGGGAGCGGACATCGACATTTGGTGGCCCGCACGGGGATTGATCAACCCCGAGACGCGGCGGTGGACTGCATTCTCCTACACAGTGCTGCAGCTGCAGGACAGGTGAGTAGAGGATAAGCCTGGGCCCTGGGTGGCGCGCACCTACAGGGTTTGTAGACTCCTCTCAACCTCACGCGTAAGTGGCGGGTTTCTTGGGCCTCACGCGGTGAGTATGAAACATAACACCAGAACTTAAGGTAATAAAAGAGTGTAAAACATAAACATAGAAGTAAAAATAACAGAAGATATATTAAAAATGGGAAACATGCCAAGTAAAGATACACAGCCTTGGTGTTGGTCCTTCGGAGACTCCTAAAGTCCAAGGACCTCAAGGTGGGGCGTAAGACTTTAGAAAATTTCCTTGCAGAGATTGACAGCTTTGCTCCCTGGTTTCTGCCTACAGGGCATGTAAACCTGCCCTCCTGGGAAAAGTTGGGCAGAGACCTTTCCCTAGCAGAACGGGAGGGTAGAGCTTCAGTCTCTGCTCGTCCATTGTGGGAAATGATACACGCGTGCCTAAAGAGTGAGGGTAGTTACGGGGGGAGCTCTCAAGAACTTGTAGAAGTACGCGAGGTGTTTGAACAGGCACAGTCAGGAAGCTCCCGAGAAGGGTCCGTCAAGGAGGGCAGAGATACAAAAGAGGAAGCCGAGGCGCGGTTTGTGTCTTTCCGCAGGAATCGGGACGAGAGCCAATGTGGGTCCCAGAGAGGTTGACGCGACAAGTCCCTCGACTGAAGATCAGGCCTGTTCCACCAGAGGCCAACCGCAGACCCAACAACAAGATGAGCCCTAAAAGAACTGCAGGACAATCCCTTTTTGGGGGCCTGGAACGGCTTGCTCCCCTATGTGCTACCCTTGTATATGCATGGCTCGCTCGCATGGCCTACGACCGCGTTTAAAAGTGACAGGCTTCCCACATTCTCCTCCCTAGACAACAACATGTAGCAGGGTGGGTGAGTCAATGACGGGTAAGAGCGTGCCTCCCCAGCACGACTCAACCTAAGCCAGGCCCTACCCCGTTCCGCTCGAAAGCCGCTGGATTGTTAGATAAATTTCTCTCCGAGGGGATTCGTGGAGAGAAATGAGTGCATGCCTATGTGCAACCAGGTTCCGTCCGGTTCATTCCTGGCCCTAGAAAAAAGGACGAGGGCCTCAGGGCCTTGGCAGACCATGGGACGGCCGACCAGGGTCTAAGCCAAGGACCTACGGTGGGCCTACACATAGGGCGTAAGCCTCTGCACCCAGTCCAGGAAGGGCTACGATGCGCACATTTATAAAAAAAAAATAAAAAAGGGGGAGATGTTGGGAGCCGCAGCCCCGAGCCCGGTCGCCTCACTTGGCGGACGTGAGGCCTGTAGTAAAGAGTAAAGCCTGAGGTAGATTACCCCTCCCATCGAGCACGTTAGTTTCCTGCTTACCGCGTAAGCAACCCGCTCAACAATATAGTCTGCCTGGCAACTGATGATGTTAGCCAATCAGCTTGCCTTGCTCACTTTAACATGATTGGACACTGTATCCGTATATATACTGGTGCCACCCCTGGGGGGGAAGAAGAAGCCCGGAAGTAAAAGCCCAGAAGGAGCCGCGGGGAGCGGACCAGAGGAGGCTTCGGCTGGGAGCGATCCCAGGGCAGGCTGTACGGAGAAAGAAAAATAAAAAGAAAAGGTTGTCCACTGCCAGACTTTGTCGTGTGTCCTTCCTGCCGGCCGGGAGCGGACATCGACATCTAATCAATCCATAATACATGCTGGGCAAATTAAAAATTTCAGTCTTCATTCCTAGCACTCACTCTTTGCTGTGGTCTATATCTGGTCAAGTTCTGTTGCTTCCTCATCCCTGTGCCCCCTTAAATCTGTGTACTCTCCAACTCCAATGCCAGTGTCTTAACTTAGGACACAGATGTGCTTCCTAATTAATCTCCCCAGATTCTTGCCACCCTCATCCATTCCAACTCACCATTGTAAGGGTCCAAGTCAGGTTTTAAAACTGAAATTTTAATGAGGCTGTTTACTCCCTCAGGCTCCTTACTGGTTTCAGAACAAGGCTGGGAACATCCGCAGCGTGGACTTTTTTCCTGCCCCCACTTACAATTCTATGTTGTGCCTGCTGATAAACTGCAGAAGCACTGTCCTCCGAAGAGCTGTGTTTTCTTTTTTTCTTAATGATTTTTATACTAGGGTTCTCCTGGTTCTTCTTTCTTCATTCCTTGATTAAGCCCTCCTCGTTTCTCAGGATTTAGATTGTATGTTTTATCTCATACTCTAATGGTTTTTGCTGGCCTCCCAAGACTGAATTTCATAACCCGCTGATATGTTCCCAGAGCCAATCCTCTGTGCTGATGGACTCTGCCACAGCCTGGCCAGGCACCAATGAAAGCAACTCTTACTTATTTCTCCCACTGCAAAGTCAGGAACCGTGGCTTTTTTACTTGCACTTTCCCATAAGCTGGCAGTTATATGTCATTTCTGGAAATATTTAATGGACAAATGAGGCTAAAGATCAAACAACTGAAAATTGGATAAACACAGTGTCAAAACCACTCTTTGATGCTGTGTGACCCAACAATCCCTCTTGTTAGTACAAACCTGAAGCAGATGAAATTACTACCCAATAAAAATAGCTTACTTTTCAATATTCATTGAAGCATTATTCACAAGAGATGAAATAAGGAAAAAGCCTGTCTGAAATGGAAGAATGAATGAACAAAGTATCATATCTGTCCATCCATCCATCCAATGATATTATCATTCTTCCTTTAAAAAAGAGATCCTGTTACTCTACTATGGCTTGTGTTTAGATGTCCCCCACCCCCAAGCTTCATGTAGTAGAAGAGACTTTTCAGGGATGACTAGATCTAGATGCATCATGACACTGGAATTGATTCATAGTGTAATGCTACTAAGGTCACTAGGATTAAGAATGTGAGTGCTATCTGCCCTAAGTAGCCTTCATAATATATAAGGGATAGAAAAGTTGTGTTCATCCTTGTTGCATTGCTACTTTCTTCCCACTATGAATTGTTTCTCTCCACTGTGATGCCATCCTGCATTGGAGCCAGCCAATTATGGACTAAAACCTCTACAACCTATGAGCTAAACAAACCTTTCTCCTTTAACCTTGGGTGTTGAATATTTTGTCTCAGTAGTGAGAAAAGTAACTAAGACACATACTAAATTAAATAACCCAAATACAAACAGAAATACATTGTGTGATCTCACTTGTATTTGACATCATTAACAAAAGCAGAAGGTTCATTGTGGAGATAGAACAAAACTGCACTTACCAGGGATGGGACTGGGAAACATGCAGATGTAGACCAAAGAAGAAAAAGTAGCATATAAATAGGATGAGCAAGTCTAGAGATCTAATGTACAAATGAGGACCATAATTAATATGAAAATACATTGTATTTGAAATTTTTGTGAAAAAACAGAGTGCCAGCTCTTTGGTATTCTAGCACAGTGCCGTGACACCCCACCCCAGTGTCTGAGGAAGAGCAAGACTGTGCTGAAGCAGGAATGGCCAAGGCCAGTGTTCTTCCCCCAGATGTCCCCCCACCCCCTTTCCAGCTTGATCTAGTCATGGAATATTGTGAGATAGACTCTACCTCTGACTAATCCCAACTAAATGACTTATATTGAATCTTAGGTATTCTCAGTGCCTCTCAGAACTGGAGAAACACTTTTAAAAGAAATTACTTCGATGTGTATTTCCTTAAATGTGTTTGCTGCTACATTTTCCTCCTTATTTCACTAGTGAGACTCCTCAATAAGCACTGCTTATTTTTGTCTTCTACAGTGTTTCCTTTCTTTCAATTACCTCTACCTCTCTTTAAGAAATTATCCGAGCATTTCTAATACACATTGGTTAATTCTTATTCATGACCTCCAAAACACAGGGAAAATGATCCTCCTTCAGCCTTAGACTTCAGAGTCCAAGTCACCTAAAAGCATTAGTCTTTCCTAGTCACACCACAGAGTTCCACACCTCCTGAGGAGTCAGCATTTACCCATCCAGATGTGCTGCCATCTGATAGATTAGCCAACACAAAGCTTTGTTCAGACTGCAAATATCTTCTCTGTGGTTCACCTTCTTTATTCTCTTAGTGATGTCTTTTAGTGAGTACAGTTTGTTAGTTGGTGTGTTGTATTAATTGCAGTGAGGTCCAGTTGTATATGCTACACATAAATTATCTTAAAGAACTGCTTACTTTCAAATGAGTACATCACATATATCATTTACAAAATTATTTAATTTTTTTCCATTTTACTCTATTATTTAAAGGGTAATATTTTAGCTAGCATTTTTCACCTATGTTCTATTCATACTTTACCTCCCCTGACATATTATAAACTACTTGGTTAGGATTATTATTTCTAGTTGATATTTATTATTTAAAAATTACTGAATTTCTTAAAATTTAGTTTTGAAGGTAACAAAATGCACTAGGTATGAATAATAAATTTCTTACCTTGTCACTACCATGTTGCTTTTGCATTAAATAAAATCCATGCCTCCATCTGGAAATGCTAATTCTTAATTTTCCTAATGAAGTTAATGGTAATACTTATGAAATTTTATTACTTTAAAGCTTTATAGCATTCAATGTGATATCAGTACCTGAACTGTACATTTAGAGTGTGTGGGAAGCTCCTAAAGCACATTAAAATTCTGTCAAGTAATTATTGAATTAATACTTTGTCACTTTTAGTCAAGAAATGTTGGGAAAATTAATCATCAAAAACATAGGCCTGTACTTTAGGATTAGGAAACTGGGTCCAGGTAGATCAAGTCAGTTGGCCAGCATAGAAACACAAATTAAATCAAATTCCAGTTGAGAAAAACAATCCAGCTTAAATCGTAGAGTCTGTCCTTGTAGCTTTGTGATATATACTTACCAGGAAAAAAGATCTAAAAGTTGATATGTTGTATTGATATTAATGTTTTCATATAAACTGTATCATGTCCTCTAAGCCAAATTACATGTGAGATGCTCTGGGATTTTATTTGAATAATTCATTTTTCCTTTATTCTTTCATGGATACTTAACAGGATGATTATGATTAAACACACCATGTTTGAAGGCATAAGCCAAATTATATTTATTAACAAGAATTTATGACATTCAAGGGTAAAAACAAAAGTTACTGTGCAATTTTCTGTTACTTTTTAGTGTATTTACATACTAATCAAAGAATTAGCTGAAATATGTAAAAGAGTCTTTTCCTTTTCATACAAAAGGTTAAATTTTAAAAGGTTTACTGAACTAACATTATTGAAGTAAATATAGTGTTGCTATTATTTCCTTATTAATAAATTTCCCTTTAGTCATATAGTCAGACGGTAGGCCAGCCATGTTTTTCATATGCAGTAATTCCCTGGTTCATGAATCTTTCGGTTGACAAATAACTGGGTTTTTAACAGAAGTTTTCACCAAAATTTTGCTTCTGTTTCCAAACTCCACATCAGAGGATGACCACAACCACTGGCATCTTCCCCAGGATGGAAGAATGAATTAAGTTCGTCACTGAGGAACAAACTGTACATATTTGACATTACCCACCAATATCCCTGGAAACATTTGGTGTAGATGTGTGGGAATGGAGAGAGGAGATTTCAGTGACTAGGACAGGGCTGTGTAGTAGAAGAGAATACTAAAGATAGGAGAGACAGGGAGGGGGAGATGTGCTCCCAGCCTTGGTGACAACTTATGTGCCAAATTATAGTAATTTCCATGCTCTGTGATGCTCATTATGCAGGATTCAGTGGACACTCTTATAG